TCATTATGTACATATGTATTCTAAATACATATCGTATATAATATGATTAAAATTATTAATGAATTATAAATATATGTTTAGTTAAAAAACTAAATGTCGATTATAAATTGTATGATCATAAATGCCAAATTTATTAATCTGGTGTTTGATGAATAATACTAAACACTCATCTTACAGCATGCTTGTTAGAACAAAAAGCAAAAATACTCTCCAAATTTTATGAGCTGTCTTTAATTTACTTCTAAACTTCATTAGAAAGATTATTGCGCTTTTTCTTCATAGTGGAATTTTTATATACTTCTAATTTGTGATATGATCTACAGAAACACCACGAGAATTTAAATTCAGTTGAAAAAATATTGTGGTATAGATTTTCAATCTGAAATGGATATCACTACATCTTGACTCTAAGTTGCATGTAGTTTGTAGTTGCAAGGGCAATATTTTTATCAATGGACTACAAACGGCCCATTAAGACTATAGACGTCGACTTTATAACCATCTATCTGTTTATATCAAATAGTTCTAGACGTCAACATTTTAATCAGATACCTGTTATATATCAGATAGTCACAGAAGTCGCTGTAATCTACAATTTCCCGTCTTTAGCGTAACATCACGTCCTATAGATTTTCCGATCCGCCGCAACGAATGACAATCGAACTGCGCCCGGTTTTTGTGTGAGCCATGCAAAGGTATTACCCGTTTCGCACGTTACTCGCAGCTTAAAAATCCCGTCAAAGTATCGAAAGAAAAAGAAATAACGGGGAAAATGGAAAAAGTGTATGCATCGACATTCCCATGTTGCTCCCCCGAGACGCAAAAGAAAATCTTTTAAGAGAAACCGAGAAGCAGTGCCTTCAAGTTTGCGCGGAATTGAAGGAGATTGATAATAAAACTGTATTAAAAGTTTAAAAAGCTGCGATCGATTGAACTGGAAAAGAAACTAATTTTGTTCCGGTTAAAATATATAATATGTGCTGCTAGATAAATGTGAGAAGTATTCGGATCACGTATTTTGTAGATGAACGCTTGGGTGCTACGGGAATAAATATTTTCTTAAACAAGTTAATAACAACAATATTTGAAATTAGAGGGAAAATCATGTATAACCAGTCATCACTTCGATTCTCACGACGGTTCAATCGGGAGATAACGGCAATGTTTGAAAATCCATAACAAAAGTATTTTCTTCCGTTGTTTATTTGGTTGCAAGCACAGTTGTTTTGTTTAATAGACCTTAATATAATATTTAAGTATACGTTATAATTGGTTTATAAGATTTATAGTTAATATTAGGTTAGATTCAACAGTTTTATATATAACCTCTATAAAAGCTTACAAGTGGATGAGGTAAAATGGACCAACTGAACCTTTACCTTGCTAAAGGTGTAACAATAAAAAATAGTAAATTGAGTTAAAGAAGCAATTTTATAAGAGATGAATTCAATAAGTAATTATTCCATCTCCTGATGATTATTTCCGACCAAATATTAGATCAAGGTTATATACAGAGTAATCTCAGTAAAAAGTGTACCCATGAAATATATATTTTTTATTGTTTGATAAACTTAGCTGTTATTTCGTTAAATCCCTTTATAATTAAAATTAAAGAAACTACATAAATAAAAATTAAACAAGACAATGAATCTTTTTGTCCTTGCCATCCCATTTCACCACGCCCATGGGTTAAAAAGGACAAGTAATTTTTTTAAAAAAAAATAACAGAAAAACACATGTCTGTAATGATAAATTGGAGTTTTTTGCTAAAAATAGTCAGATAGTTGTTTGTTTAAAAAGTGTTATTTGTTCTGATATTCTTGAATTGGTTTTTACAATTACTGTCCCAAAATCAAATTGGACCATTGTGCCCTGCCCTACCCTATATATCACCAAAATTCCTGGAAACACTATTTTTCATGTCACACATATATGACAAACTAATTTTTTTTTTGTTATAATTTATTTTTAATATAAACTAATAATGTATCAAGATTTTTCAATTTATCAAAGAAAAAATATGACTGACATAGCGATTAACGTGTTAACAAAAAATTAGAACATTTTAGAAAAAAATATTTTGCGGATTAAAGGTAGTAAAAAAACTTAATAAAAATGCAGAAGCAGGAAAAATTATTCCTAATTTTAATACAAAAGAATTATGTGAAACTTTCAATTTACGGAGTTGTATATAGTTTACAGATAAGTCAGATAATAAATAAACAAATCAAATTCTATTTTGAATTTTACAATATTATAGCTTATTTCAATTTCTCTAACCAACACCTATATATTGCATTACTACCACAATAAGCTAAATAAATCAACTCTCGGTAAACTGAATCAATAACTACCACGCAATTACATATCAAATAAGCCAATTACCTACAGATGTGAATTTTATGGAAATGTTTACACGACAAAGCATTTGATTAATAATGCAATCTGGCAATTTATTTCATATCGAATAAAAAATATTATTGTCCATTCTAGCATACTTCGTGAAAAGCCCTATTAGTTCCTATTGTGAAGTCATTTTACCATAAATTGTGAAATTGCAAATAAATGGGAGCTATTGCGTGAACTAGCGCAGAACAAGTTCATTAAATCTATGCATCATGCAATTAAAACTACATTCATCATAAATTTACTGTGCGATACAAATTATAACCTGGTCGACATGATTCCTCGTATCTTGTTTGAAATCATGCCAGTTGGGGTAATAAATGTAATATATATTACAGTCGGATTTTGTTTTGACAATTATTGATATTAATTATGCGATGAAACTCATGCTTTCTCCGAATTTTATGTATTGCAGATGGTTTTGAAAATTCACCCAAAAATAACTGATGAATATTTATGAAATGAATTTTTTTAACAACATTTATTTAATTTATTTATTTAGTTATTTACTGATTTAATGGTAATTCATATAGTGTATTTATTCAAGTTATTGCTACTCTAACTTATAAATAACAATCAAACTAAAATTGTCTTTTTTATCAGTCGACTATGAAGTCTAATTGAACTTTGCTCAAAAGTAAATATCATCTACAAAGTTAAAGTTTTCAACGTTCATACATGTGAAAGTTATAATAATTAATGAAGTAAAACTGTAGAACACAGTTTACATGCAAGAGATCAAAGAGGTACTTGATTCAGCGAGAAATTAATTATTGAAATCGAATTGAAAAACCTCTGCAATATCTCAAAAGGCAAATACTTTAAAAACTTTAATTAAGGTAGTTGAATATTCTCGTTATATAAGTTTTGAAAAAAAAAAATAAAACAAATTTACTTAATAATAGCTTAATAATAGTACTCGAGGTTTGACTGAACAATATTTATTCTTGTTTGATCATACAATCCCTTAAAATATTATAAAAGATCACTTTTTTATTTTTACACGCATAGTATTTTTGATTTATTGTTATTGTAAATACATTTTCCTTAACATTTTATTTGCAGAATTTTTACATAAACCAACATTCTACTATTCGTGAAGGGAGTCAATTTATTTTGACTTGTACAGCCCAAGGATCCGGCAAAATATTCTTCGAGTGGTATAAGGATGGAGCAGCAATTAATACCTCAAGAGGATCAAGGTAAGAAAACAAAAATTTAATACTAATATTTCGTATATTAAAAAAATGTATATCTCAAGAAAAAAAAGCAATTTATAGATATTTTAATGATGGGTTTGTACTCTCTTTTAGTAAGTTCCAGACATTTTTCCTTATACGATTGTTGAAATTTATATTAAAAGATTATAAGATTTCTTTATTTCAGAAAATTACGTAGTTTTAATACATTTTTGACAACTAAAGACGGCCACAGACGTTTCTGTATACATGTGCAACTGTATGAATGCGCAACTAGGCATATTTTCATAGTGCCCACAGACGACTCAAGTGTATGTTCAAGTGTTTGCGCATGCATATCAAACATGTCAACTAAGAAATGTCAAGACATAATCTACAAATATATCTTATTTATTAATTTATACATTCAGAAGAGAATGCAAAAGGTTCAAAGGGCTAATTGAAATACTTTCAAACGCTGATAACTTCATAAATTTTAATCCAAACGGGACATGTGCTGCCACACACGTTCAACGAATGAACTTGCCAACTTGAATGTTTGAACAATTAAAATAATTTAAAAGTGCGCATCTTTGTGCCCAACGATCCCACAGACGCTACAGAATTCATGTGCAAGTCATAGGTTGCGCAATTATACAATATCGTCTATGGCCTGCTGAAGCTTTGTTAGCATGTATTATTTGAATTTTACAAGTTTTTATAAAAAGTAATTACATATTTTATACATGAAGGACATATCTACATATTGGTGACCCTAATATTTATGTGATCACTCCCAAACTTTATTGATTCTTAAATTAAATTCCAAATTAAGCAGTTTGTTTAGTCAATTTTGCACCATCATGTGAATTAAATATGGATCTCAAATTCTAATTTTAGTCATCGTATATTGATTTATAAAACGTATAGTTCTTGTCAAATTATTTTAAGATACATTACTATGCACTAATACTTCAACCAATTAAATTAAACAAAATATCAAATTTTCAATTCCAGTGGCCTCCGAGGTAGCAGTCGCACAAACGCGGTCGGATCATCCACCCTCGGGATTGGCGAATTGCACATAGCGCGCGCCTCTCGCCTTCACGCGGGCACTTACACCTGCCGAGTGCGCGACTCGCATTTCATTCAATGTGCGGAAACCCGGGTGCAAGTGCTCACGGCTCCCCGGGTTGAGGTGCGACCGAGGACGGCCACGGTCACGAAGGTAATAATAATAATTAATTGATATTTTTACAGCAAAATGTAAATATAAGTACGTATTTGTTTTGTGAGTACTCGGTTATATGATGAAATTAATTGCCGAACAAACTTGGGAGTAAATATATATAAATATATTTATTTATAAACGATCTGTTTGGATAAAAATATGAATAACATGTAGTGTTACGTAGTATGACGTTTCGTTTAGGCCCACAGGCTCGTGTGGACAGTGTCGTGAGTTTGAACCCCGCTCTGGACAACCTGATATGGCGCAGTAGAGTATATAGATAATAAATATTTATCCATAATTTCATCAATATAGATCCAAAATATATTACCAATTAAAAATTAATACAAGAAATTTTTCACACTATTTTTCCCTGAATAAAGCTGGAGTTTAATTCAGCTCTAAGGCATATATATATAAATATGTATATATACTAGCTGGCCCGCTAAAAGATGTTTAGACAAAAAAAAAATTTCTAGGAAAATTATAGTGTAAAAAACAGCTAACTGATTGTGAATGTGAAAGTGGTAATACGTGGTGTGAGTAAAAGGGGTAGCTAACACAAACTTTATGGATGGTTTACCCACCTCAAAGCATACCACATATAATTGTTTATGGGGCATATTGGTAGTCATGCAAGTGCTAGCTAGCGTAATCTGAAACTGATTTCAATTAAAATTATTTAGCACATTTTGTGATTCAAAGTCCTGATATACTATCAAAGCGCGGTACTTTTTGTTAATTCATTACTTTTTTAATGTAAAAACTTAATTTTTAATTTTTCTGTACATTCATTGACTGAAATTGGGACGAAAAGCTATTTGATTACTCAAATGTATATCAACCAATAAGAGTTTGAGATAGGAGGGTAAAAATTTAGGGCTGTATGAGTTTTTCAATTGCAAATTATAAAAGAATAAAAGAAAAGTAATTGGTATGAAAAATATTCTTAGGGGGACCAATACTTAGTACTCATAGGTGTTGGAAATATATGTTCTATTTTTAGTCATATCATACTGAACGTTATATTAAATATATATATATTAAATTTTTTTATTATAATTTTGATGTTGAAATATGTGATATTCAGTTTTCAGGGCAATACATCAATTAAATTAATTGATGTATTGCCCTGAAAACTGAATATCATATATATATATATATATATATATATATATATATATATATATATATGTATGTATGTATATATACATATATAAAAATTACTATAAACAATAAATAAACATTTTTAATCAACATAATTTATTTTAATAATCATTCTATTTCTGCCCACATTTATTTATTCACTACAAAAGATAGAATAAATATTATGATAAAAGCAATTAGAGCATTCCTTCCAAAGCCGTATTTTCTATTCTAAAAGATAAACAATGATAATAGATATAATCATCTCTTATTATTCCAGTTGCCTCTTAAACTTTTGTTTACAAAAGACAAAATGCATTTGAATAATTGAATAATGAATTGCGAGAAATAGCACTATTAAAGTTTGAATGATGCAGCTTAACACATCAGAAGAGTAAGAAGAATTGTTATTCTTGTTGGAAATAATTATACGTGGAAAATTCGAGAAACTTATGAACTTTGTTATAATAAATGATAGTTGCTAATGCACCGGTTTAATTTGTGAGATAATGAATTTTGATGGTAATATGTTTGCCTGTAAGGAAAGTTTTGGATAATAATACACTACAATTGAAGTTGCAGATGCCGATGCTTCTCGTAAATGAACAGGATTATTTGGTACTCGAACTTGGTACAAAACAGAAATTATATGAATAAATTAATGTGAATGATTTTTAATTGAGTTTTATGCGTTGTGATATTAAAATAAAAATATCAGTATCAGAAGTAGTGTGGAAAGGTTTATAACAATCTTGAAATAATACACTATATGTTCTACTGAAATAATTATACTAAATTAATACAAGAATGCTTTTAATTTCTTGTCTATTTATTTGCGAGTTAATCAAATTCATTTTCAAAGCTGTAACGGACGAGAGACTCAACATCAAGCGTATTGCAAATATGATGCGAGATTCTAATAAGAATCATTTAATTCTCAATTACCAAGACGATGTTTCAACCTATAATTTTTATGTTTTAATTTATGTTAATCACTTCGAAGATAACAAGAATCACCACTAATTATATAACGTTCGTCTCTAGATCTTGTGATGGTGGTAGAATAAAGCTATGACGCAAAGCTTACAGGAAAGACTTCCAGAATGCAATTACAAACAAACTTCCGCAATTGTTTGTTGAATCGAGCCAGTTATAACTTTGTGAAAACGCGTAGAAATGGCACATAGTTTGATATTACCAGTTATGAAATAATTATTTGAAATTTGTTACTTTACAATACTACTCGACGATAACAATACGAAACTTTACTCGTTTGCTATTTTCTGTTCTTGACACTAATAAGACCACTACTGACATACGCCGCTCCTGCATGGAACGCGACGACTAAGACTAACTTACAGAAACTACAGACATTACAAAATAAGACACTACGAATAGTACTTAACAAAATAAGGGACCCACTGACTAGACATTACTACTCTTCAAAATACATACACAAACAGACTGACGTACCGACAATACTTGACTACATGAAAAAGCTTACTAAAAATTTTTACCTAAAATGTGGGGATCATCCTAATATTAACATCGCGGGCCTCGGCCAATACACAAGAGACGATATTTGGTATGGCAATCACGCCATGCCAAAATATATACTGATTGACCCATAGCAGTAAACGTAAATTGGCTCAATACAAATTTTCTCCCTTAGAATGAATAAATTTTTATTATGTTTTTCTTCTTTTTGTGTTATTATGTGTTATTATAAATAGTGCTATGTGATTTTTTTTTGGGGATAAATTTTCATTCCTCTTTTTTTGTCACACAAATATTAATTTATTTATATATTTTGAATTAATTATTGTTTGTAAAATCAAATCCAATGAAGGATACAATACCTTCGGGTAAAAAACCCATGTTATAAAGTGCAATGTACATACTTTTATATACTGAAATATATAGTCTTTGAATTGAATTGAATTGCTATTTTCTGTTTTGATACAATTTTTATTTTTCTAATGTAAGTTTAGTCGTGATAGAAATACGCATCACCTCTTATTCGTATTATATATTCTATTGAAACGCAATAAAATTCTAGCGATTTCGGATATACAAAGGCAAAAGTAAAAAAAATAATTGATGTTCATAATGATCATTTAACATATGCACAACTGATTATCAGATATTTTATAGAAATTTAAAAAATGAGTACTAATTTTGTTACAATTGTTTTCGCTTCCGTACCAATATTTTTAATTTTTGAAGAGATTCAAACAAATTTCAAAATTTGCAGATTATTTTTTCAAAATTTTCAAAAATATACAAAGTTTTATAATTTAAATATAAATTTCAAATTTACAACTCAGTTTAAGATTGTATATTTTTCATATGCATTATTCTAATCATAAAAAATATATCCTCAGATGGATTTATTCGGCATCTCTCGTAATGTAAACACTCTTAAGCGTTTTGTACGATAAGATCGTCACTGTATATTATATGAAAAATAAAATATATGGAAAATATAATTATTTTGTTAGAAATATTTAAAACAATTATTATTATACATTGATCAAATATTGATTATGGTTTTTTATATATATGTTTTTGTTTCCTACTAGTAATATACACATAGGATTGACTTGGATCATTTTAATTTTTCAAGTTTTATAAATTTTGCTCTCTCTCTCTCTCTCTCTCTATATATATATATATATATATATATATATATATATATATATATATATATATATATATATTGTATATATATCTTTAAAGATAGTTTGTATTACTATAAATTAAACATTGAAACAATTTAAACCAAAAGATTAAGCGTTTAATTTAATTCAAAGATTAACAAGATATACATTCGTTCTCTAAACTATCCATTCTGTCTGTGCAAATCTAATTAGCAAAAGTTGTTCTTATAATTCTTGTTAGTTGTGAATACGAATACGAAATGAGAAAGTTTCAACACGGTATGCTGACAGCATTCAATATAGGAGTTTCTTATGCTCATTGTTAAATTCAATAGCATCAATTCCGAGAGAGTAACGTACTAGTGTTTTGCTAGTTTCATTTGCTTTCGAGATACACGCAAACGTGATATGTCATTTTCAGTGAACAAGTTACACAGACAATTTGCAAACAGTTGGAAATGACGTTGAAAGAATACATACTATGTGTGGAATATCTTAGAAATGGAATGCATAAAAGGATATCTTGTTGAGGAAATTCCAATTCAATATATTAAAGTATATCAATTGATTTAAAAAAAATCATTTTATGTAGTAAAATAAAAATAATCAATTGAACAAAATTTACTTAATATTAATCTATATATTTAAATATAAACGTTTACATACGCAATTTCAATATGCCACAAATCTGACAAGATTGGGAAGCCTTCATATAATACGAAGTCGTTATTCTAAACTAAACAAATCATTGGCAGTAAGTTTTTATTTGCAGGTAACTAAGTTATTAAAATTGTGGATAATTTATAATCAGCCTTCCATCAATTTTCCTTAATTGATTATTCACTTCTAAATAAAACCTACTGAAGCACGATGAATATCTCATTCAGGAAAAAGTAATTAAAATTCAAAAAAACCCTTTATAGAAAATAGAATTTAAAATGCTAATTGCATTTTAATAGATTCCTTGAACCTCGGAAATGCAGCTAATAAATGTTTTTCTCGTTTGGTCGGCATGCCTCTGTATCAAGCAATTTCGAGAAGAAATTGAAACAATTACCGCGATTACAATTAAAGTGAATGGAATTAGTCGACGGAAAGCAAATTTTGCCTTAAACATAAAATTTAATCTTCCGGCCGCACGTCACTTGGGAATTGCAGAAAAAACGGTTCATAAAAGAAAACAATTTTACGTTTGACGATTATGATGGTTGAGATACGGATTTTTTATTTTAAAAAATACTTAATTAGAATACGATAATAATGAAGCTCTTCTAGTATTTGCTCACTAAATATTTATTGGTTTATAAGAATAATAAACAATTGAATTCATCAAACATTTTTGCTCATATTTTGCCTTTTATATAGTGAGATGGTCAATCACACATTTTAGAAGCATATTGTATGACAGCTTTTTTTCTAATTCTTTAACAGCAATCAAGATACAATATACCATATATTGCTCAAAAGATGAAAGAAAACGGTTCGTTTATAAAAATTGTTTCAAATTATTATAATTAAATTAAAATTAAAATAAATGTACATATATTTTTAATTATAATAAATTAATATAATTTTTATAAACGAACCGTTTTCTTTCATAGAATATTTTTTCCCCTAACGACATATATTTTTCAACAGGACCCTATAGCTTCTCTTTCCTATTTGATATTTTGTGACTCATCTAGTTGACCTTAATAGAGAATTCAGACTCCGACGATCGTTGGTGTAATGAACGACTTGTAACGGATAACACATAATGCTAATTTAGATTTCTATATTTTAGATTTTAAATTATAACACACTGATGATGATTATTTAATAAATTAGTGCAAAAAGAGTGTCGTATGTTTATATTTCTAAATTAATATATATATATATATATATATATATATATATATATATTTGATTTACAATTAGATACTTAATAAAGTATATAACTTGATAGAGTAGTAATTATTAATATAAATATTTTTATATAAAATTGGTTATAATTATAATATTGTGATCACTACTGTGATCCAGCTGGATTAGGTGATTCTCTATTTATCTTCCTATAAATTGTACTAAAACACCATATCCTTAACTAACAATGTATTCTACATTTTCTCATTTACAACTTTTTAGTCAACCATCACAAATATCATAACTAACATAGATTATTTACCCTATGCTGTCACAGAACCATCTATCCAATTGATAAAACTAATAACTTATAACTACTTACTATAGAATAATATAAAATATTCATTTATTATATAAGAAATAAAAATCGTGTTTTTATCCATTGCAAACAATTCAACCGTTAAATATAAAAACTCCCAGGACTTCACTAAAACATTTGTTGAAATGAAGTTTTTAAATACACTTTGTTTGAGATATAAATCGAATTAATAACTTTTTCAGTACAATAACATAGAAAACAAGACCCAATTTTCCTTTAAATCCGCATAACGAAGCGTGGGTTGCATATTTTCTAATTACACCCTTTGACTACTCGAGTGTCTTGCTTTCCGCATTTTCTTTTGTAAAAAATATTCAACCCTTAAAAAAACGAAAACAACTTTCTCGTATATATTATAATGCGATTCCTTTCTCCGCCGATCTTAAACCAAAGCGGTTAAATCATTGGCCCAGTTATTTATGAAGCTGCGTTGTTATAAACGTAAAATATTGCCCTCATAAGTTTTATGAAGACTTGAATATATTTTATGCCCTGTTCCGTGCGCATAATCCAAATAATAGCCATGGATTCCCCTTATGAATTCTAAAGTTCTCTGGTGTTTGACATATGATTATATATTAAAATTTAGATTCGAGTTACGTCACGAATATACTTGGGCCATTGCCCCAGAGTAAGACAAAATCTTGTATTAAATCTTCAAGATACTTATATAATATAAACATAAGTACTTACATAGTGCATACATCATTTGTTCGGTTTCTTCAATTTAATTTTTATCATTCATTTCTTATTTTCAGGGAGAAGACCTTCTAATAAAATGTCTTTCAACCCGTTTTGCTGGTGCTGAAAAAAGAGGCTATAGCTGGACACGAGATGGAGCCCTTTTTCCAGCAAGTGCCTCATCTGCCCTTTGGGAAGATTTGAGTCCGGATGGAAGCATTTTAAGGATATTTAATATACAAGTGAGTTTTTTAAAAAAATCTAATATAATACATAAATGCTTTTAATATTTACGGATCAATTAATTTACTAATTAATTATCTACAAATTTTATAATTGCTTCTTTCCGCATATGCAGTTACGAAACATAATATTTAATTATTTGTATTGTAATCTGATGAAAATTACATTGTTTAATTGTAAAAAATGCATTTAATTAAGAAAAATTAATTTACTTGGTACAGGTAATTAAAATTTACATCATTGCAATTATTCCGAATTGTATTCGTTGTATTCAATGTTAATATGAAATTAATTGTGAAAAAGATATCAAGTATGCGAGGTAATTGAATCAGAAATGTTTAAACCACAAATATTTAATAAACTGATTACTGTTTTAAATTCGATAACAAAGCAGGGCTATAATTTACCAGAGTATCTTAACGAATTACAAAATTAGAAAAATAAATAATTTATGATCTATTTCCTAAAATCTGAATGAATAATTATTTGCTGATAATATTCTTTTATAAAGGAATATTGCTAAATAATTATAGTAAAAATCTATTAAAGTACTAAAAATCTAAGTCAGACCAAAACATCATCTAGATTTATATTTTCTCTAAACAGACCAAAAATCCTATAATCGGCTTCATGAATAATAATTAAGATTCGGCACCTTTAAAAATTGTGAGAGTAAAATTTTAAAATTCTAATACTGCCCATTATTTTATTTTTTTTTTATAATTAGATAACTTCTCGTAGGTCTATAATATTTAAGAATTTTTGTAAACTTCATCATTATACAAGGTTTCATCAAAATTGTCAGAATATTTTATTAGATCATTATCAAATGCTAATCAGCGCGATGCCCAACTGATATAAATTGAACTGAATAATGATTAAATTTCATAATTGGTTGACGATTTTTTTTGAATCTCTTGTCCCCACGGAAATCGTCGTTAAGCATTACTTCATGGGGGGAGGCTCTAGCATTCTATACTTCGTTTGTCCTAATTGGTTCCACGAAAGAATGATTTTGTTATTATCTGGTTATTATAATGTTGCCAATCGTTTCGCAGAACTATCCAATCGGTGTCGTTATCGAGTTTTGATATCTGAGATATCTGATTAGTCGTTTTCTAAAAGTGTCGATTATTGGCTCACACACATATTCACCATTTTAGGCACCAATCGACTCTAAATGACTTGGAATGTCCGGATAGTATTGAATTCGATTTTCTGGCTGAAACATAAACTTTTTCTTCGCGAAATAAAAAAAATCCAATTCAAACTTACGAATTGCAACTACGCCCAGGAAGTCAAACTTATGTATAGCCCTAGGAATTAAATCGAGCTCATCAAACATTCATTCAGTGTTCCCGATCCCCGCATCATGATACACACTTAAGCGAAACGTCTGATATATTCGAGGTAAACCGGAAATATGTAGGAGGTTCACATGTGTAATTAGTTTGTGTTGCCTCGTACCGCATTAATATTGAGAAAGGTATTCGCTCTTATTACGGAATAAAGTAAAGATATACGCTATAAACCCGAGTTGGGACTCGCTTTTAATAAATCCACTTACTGGATCATTACTTTATGTCATTTACTCAAATTGGGACATATGCAATATTAAACTTGGTAAAATTAAAGCGGAAAAGATATTATGAAAACATCTTTGTACTGAATTTTAATAATATATATTCATCTCAGACTAGGTTAAAATGTTGAAAATAAGTTGCTGCTATATAAATCAATCATTAAACCAATCTGGACCTACGGAATTGAGCTTTGGGGATGTGCTTACAAATCAAATATAGCTTTAATGCAGAGAACTCAGTCAAAAATTTTACGTACTTAAAAATGTACAATACTTCTTCGTGGTACGTTACAAATGAAACCATTCACAACGATCTCAACATGAAAACGATGCAATTAACGTTCAAAGAATTTAAGATAAAATACAAAGGTAACTTGGAATCACATTCAAACCCATCAATAGGCGACATTTTACAACCATTTGGCGTAAGAAGATTAAAACGTCAATAGCCTTTAGATTTAGTCTTATATTAGCTTCAATATATCATTATCTTTCTAATTGTTAAACTAACAAGATCTTATAGGAGTTCTTCTTAGACATCGGTATCAAATATTGTCAATTTAGCTTATAGGAATTCTTATGTATTTCTGATTGCTGAATAAAACAGAGTTAAAATTAAAAAAAATCTCAGACGAGGTCTTCTGTATGGGTATGTCGGGCTCAATACTGCCAGAATATAATATCGCTTATCTCTTGTCTCTAGTTCACACGGAAACCATCGTTAGGCATTACTTCATGGGGGGAGACTCTAGAGTTCTATACTTCTTTCGTTCTAATTTGACCCATCCGCCTTTCCTCTTTGTGAAAATCGCAAGTCCATTAGAACTTCGTTTCTAATGTGACTAAGGCTATCACTTCTTCAAGAGTATACATGTGTATATTACTGTATATGTATATAGAATTTATTCCTATATATTTTTACAATATAACAATGTTTGATTATATTGCAATCTCCATAAAAAGCGCACAGGATATCCGCATAGATTTCGTATGCAATATTGCCGACTCTATTGGATAAGATACGAATACAAATCACATATGCTATTCTTTATATATAAGCAAAATTGTCTCTATATCCCAACGTATTTTTCAAATAGGTTAGATGATCATAAATATGTCAGTATCCTAAATTTGTATCATGTCAGTGATATTTCCGCATGTCTATAATACATTAAGAACAATGTTATATGTACTTGTATTGATTTTGAACTAATAGTATTTTTGTTAATTATATTCGAGCATAATTGAACATATTATATTAGATAATTGTTGCCTGCTTACATCAGTCGATTGATCTTGTCTTCAGCCATTTTAAGCCTAACAGTTTGAAGATTATCCTAAAAATTATTAACTTCTCCAATAATGAAGCATCAGTTAAATTACGCATGTATTTTTTTCTTAATGTTAATTTCAGTTTTATTTGTACTACTTTCATTTGTAACTGAATATGTGCGATATAAATAAAAAAATATTTTGCACATTAAGGGGGTATTCCAGTGTAGAATTTCAAAAAAATTGAATTTTTTTGTATTTCATATTTTCAAAGTTTAACTATCTAAGAATATGGGTACGAGAAGGTTTTTGAAAATTTGAATTTCTTCGGAGATATAGGCATTTTACTGACTCGGTCTCCATACTGGTTTGGCTTCACGCAAAACTTTAAGTGCGTTTTTTTCAGAACAGATTTTTTCAGTACTGTTGACACGATTTCTCGAGTTCTACTCGACCGATTCACTTGAAATGTTCAGAGAGTCTTGTTTATAGACCTATCTATAGCCCGAACTAGGATTATCCCCAAATTACAATTTTTACTATATTTCAAAAATTCGAGAAACTCAAAAAAAAAAACATTAAAAAAAAAAAATTGTGAAAAAAAAATTCTTTTTACTCATCGCTAGTTCAGGCGATTGCGACATCATCGCAGATTAATAATCTTTTTATTTTTTGCATTTCCGATGGCTAGGAGGGCTGAAATCATGTCAAGACTGAGGTGCCAATTTTTTGAGACCACCCACTTCATCAACTGCCAGTTTTTACAATTTTCAACTTTTTCATTTTTTAATTTTTGTTCTGTATTTTAATAATATTAGTAAACAAGTGGTAAAAAAATGGATAGTAAAAACATTCATTGCTTTCTTTTACGACACTTTAAAAATGACCTAAATCATACAAAAACTTAATAGATCGATTAATCAAAACTCAATAGTCATTTAAGGTAAAAAGGTCCAGCAAACTGCAGAAATCATATGATTCAATTTAATTATCATGTAGAATTGTAGAAGGACTATATCATGGATTTTGTCGTTTTTCTATTATTTCTTTTTTTGATTGTTTTACCATTTGATCTCTAATTTTAACTTTAGATTCGTCTTTTGCGGTAAAGACTACATTGGAAAACGAATGCTGCATATCCAATACAAACAACTTTTTTTTATTCTTTGGACATTTGTTATTAACTTCTTATATGGTAATTGCAAAGAAATTGAAAATAAAAATTGTTATATATCTTTACGCTTCAAAGGTTTCTGAACATTTTTTGATACCCAAGAAAAAATGAATGTACGGATGTATGTGTGTGGTGTGGGGGAACAATGCCATGCACCGTTAATGTTTAATTAATGCAATTATGAGTAATAAAAATTATTCTATTATTTCAGAAATCTTCAACCTACGTCTGCCACGTGAGCGATTCCGCTGCCGGCACCTCCGGCTCGGCCTCAGTCCGCGTGACCGTGGCTACGAGCGGCGAGTCGGCCGGCCCGGGATGCCGCGGGGACGAATGGTCGGAAACGAGCACCGTGCCGGGCGGTCTGGCACTCGCCGACTGCCCCAGCGGCTACGACGGTCAAGTACGCGTTCGCTGCGACGAGACGTCGCGCTGGGAACGGGCCGACTACTCCGAGTGCATCGCCCGTGAAGTGCAAAACATTCGGGATAATGTAAGTAGAGTTTTGTATTCAATTGGCATATGTTCAATGATAAATGTATGATTTATGATGAGATAACTGGTTTAACTAAGATTTATGTGGGTTATGATGGTGCGCGACTATAACTTTCGCGTTCACAATTTATTAAGCGTGGTATGAAATATTGCGACTCTAAAATTATAATCGTACTGTTAACTTTTTAACACAGCTATTTAAACTAAAACGTTGAAACAAAACATCAAAGATTGATAAATACTACGGTTTATACAAAAACCGACATTTTAGAAAACCGGTTTTCGAATTTTAATTTTACTAAAAAACCGGTTTTAACCAGTTTTTGAATTTTATATAGAAAATAAATTTTTACTCAAACATTCTCTAATTTATCCGCAAATTTGGTGTAATTTAGAGCAGTATTTAACTGAATTTATTTATTGTTCAATTTTATAGATAGTAAACAAAATTATTTTAGTTTTAATTAGTAGAACCAAAAAATAATTGTCTATCTTGATTAAATACATTTCAAAAAATTATTCGTATTCATGCATCATTTTTACATATAAGAATGAAAATATTTTTATGGTATTGAAAGGAAAAATTTCGAATAAATAAAAATTATACATTCATAAATAAAAAAATCATTAAATAAAAATAATAATAATAATAATAAAAAAAATATTAGATATATTTTGATACATACTTTTTAATATAATTTTAGTTTTAAAAACAATTAAGCTAAACTCGGGTATTGTCTGTTCCGAGTAATTTTAATTAATTAATTCTAATAGTTTTCCTTGATTAACAAAATACGATTACAAAAAACTGAGAACGTCTATCAAATTCCTACATAGACGTGCCCTTTGTTTACTCACAATATTTCCTGAAGTAGAAAATACTCTCATACTTGCGACCAAATTATGCTTAATTGTTTTCAAAGCCTGATATAATAATTCCAAGTTCTTTGTTCTTTAATTTGTGGCTGCTAGGGTTTAAAACGCTTTTTTTAAGTTTGAGTGGAGGAAGTTACTTCTTCAAGAAGAAGTCACATTGATTTAAATTAATATATACACTGGTATAAAAATCTAAATTAATATATACAATTTATGGGAGCCATTGCAGACTGATAAAATATCAAATGCTATAGAAATGATATGATTTCAAGAATCAAAATGTTTGCATCTATCTTTTATATTTGGATATATTTGTCATTTTCCATTTATACAGTGAAAACCGACTTTTTTCACTAAAAACCGGTTTTCGAATTCCATAATTTTTGCCAAAAAACCGGTTTTTGAAAACCGACAAACCCTAATGAATACGAAACGAAATAAAATAGTTAAGGCTTAAATTTCGTTGAAAATAATAAGGCAAACCAAAAGTTTATGATAGTACAATATTATATTTCATGTCAAAAATGAGTGACTTGTACAGTTCTGTACATTGCATTGACGTTAGCTATGACCATAATATGCCAGTTTACTTGTCTTATTGAGACAAAAAACATGGTAATTTTTTTTTTAGATTTTATTGAAAAAACGTCTACTATTAATTAGCAGAATAATTTGAGTACTCCTATATAATTCCATTTTATTCTTATTAATTTATATTAGTAATGAAAAAAAATCATGCAAAATTTTGTGTAATATAGCAAAGACATTATCTATAATATAAGTATATACCAAAAGCTTTACAAATTCCGGTATTCAAATATCGAGATATAACGTTTTGTTATGAAATACATAACAGTCATAAATAAATATTAGGCTGGTGAAACACATGGCAGAGAGCTTTTCTTGTCCTCGCTCGTCTTTTGTAATATATTCATGTCATGAGCTTCGTAAAAAATGTGCATTTTATATGCGTTCATATCTGGATTAAATATTAATTTTCATTCTCACTATTTTTTCATACTCTTTTGAAATTCAATACGAAAAAGAATATGGACTGAATCATTCAAACAAGCCATGTTTGATGCATACGCTGTCTTTTTTTACTCTAACAAAAATGAAAACTAATAAATGATGAAATTAAGAAATGATTTTATGTTACTACCTGACTTAAAACAAATAAACTTGTTGAATTTGAAAATCACTAATAGTTTAATGCACTTTAAAATTAAAAATTAATACCAATGATATTTCCCGTAATAATGGTTCATGTATGATTATTTCATGAGCTATATTAATTCTGTTGTCAATGAAAACCTCAGAAACCCAGTTAAATTGAAATTTGTAATAAAATGAAACTTCTTCAATCTATACGTCCTCGGAGTTAAAAAGCAAACCCGTTACCAAGAAACACGTCGTTTGCTATTTGTCTTTTCGAATAGAGAATGTGCAATTTAAAAGAGCAAAGTACGTCGCCTAAGTACACCTAAAAGTATTGTACAAAGAAACAAATAATGGAGTAAGTCGCTAGTCGGTGAAAAATGCCGACAGTGAATATTCTCTATTGGTTGTTCGGCATCAAGCCAGAATCCCGTTATAATGAGTTTTGGACACTTGCCCAGTTTTGATATAGTTGATTAAATTTTTAGTTACAAGAAGCATTTGTTACAAACCGATCGCCGTGGATATTGAAAATTTTATATTAGAAAAATTGATAAAATACGTCTTTGTGCGATGATTTCATTCAATAATTTATTTTTTAAACTTTTATATTCTTAGTTTTTGAGATTATGTAATCACTCAAATGCTCAGTACTACGATCGTGCCTAATAAAATAATTATTGTCTTATAATTAAATAATCTAATGAAAACGTAAAATCTTTTAAAGTTAGCATGCAAATTATACAGTATTTACATTCCAACAAAAAAAAGCCCTCGTTTGAATTTGCATAACAACATTTTAAGTATAAATTTCATAGAAATTGCAATGAGTACCGTTATGATTTTGAAATGAATACTCCGGCTAATTGAAATTAAACAAAGCAGCAGCGCGCACACAATTAGACCAGAGAATGCAAAATGCTTTTATTATTTTTGCAAATAATATAGGAATGGCTAGAATACTAACTACTATAAAACGTAGATACAAATTCAGAAGCGTACATAGTTAGTTTTTCACTGGCATCATTTTAAAATTTAATATTCATACAGAACTTCTAAAACAAGTACGTATTTTGAGGTGGTATATATAGTAGATGTCTATATCATACACGTGCCTATAAATATCTAGATAGCGATATAATTGATTTATATATTTGCATATACTTTCAAATATAATTTCTTATATTAAATTGAACAGGAGCCAAAAAATAGTACAAATTGCAAGAAGAGGGTAATGTTCGTGGAGAATATTGTGCATTATGTGTTAGATCTAGACATGAAGCTCCCATATGTTACATGTCATGAGCGAAGCTATCATCTTTCATATAAAATTGTTTTCTTCAAAGTCGCTACGGCTGAGGGAAACTAATGTTCAAATATGCACAGAAATAGTTCCTAGACATATTGCTAAAACTGAATAAGTAAGTCGCTTTATCATAAAAAATGAAATTAAATGAAATCTTTAAAAAATATAATAAAATTTACAAATTGTAAATCTGTTCTGTATTAATTTTTGGAAAAAATCTATATTATTGCGCAATAATAAAACGTGTGTAAATTTCCTTTATATATATTTATATATGCACGGAAAACTCTATCGAGCAGCTACCTAAGCGTGAAGATGCACAATAAATAATTTTCCAATGCAAATTGAAAGTTACGACATGGTATTATTTCTGGCACCATTTTATATTCAAAAGCTATATCAAAAAGAAAATTAAGATATGTGAATTTACATCCACTTTGGTTGCAAGATATATAATAATTTTACAAGATAAAAGCTTTTAGTTAAATAAGAATTAATACTTAATAGTAAATTATAAAATTCGAATTAAAATAATAATAAAATAATGAGAATTTTATTATTATATTAAAGAATTCTATGCCTAAATATTTAATAATGCATTGAACTACAAGGTAGCTCCACCGCGCACAGTTATCATGTATTACAACTTATATTTTTTTATTAAAGATATTAAGATAATAAATTAAAGATACTAATATGATAAATTAGAAATATTATTATTTTTTGAATGAACTATAAGTTTTTGAATGCTTGTATATAAATAAATAATATATTACCCAGTAATATTATTGCATAATTAATTATATATAAATGTTCAATTCTCCACTAGAAAAACTATCAATAAATTCAGGAATTGACAACACTTGACCTCCTACAATCGTATTAATAAGGTTTTCTAATTGCAAATTACTTTTCTGATTGATTCTCGATTTTTCTAAAGAAATGATCCTCTTCGCATTTCAAGTGGAACTCATCGAATCGAATTGAAATAGTACCTGAAAATGCAATCATTTCAAATAAAATGCCATTAACACTTCTTTCTATTGGAAAGGAAAATTTTATTGATAGTAAGTAGGTACATGATTGTAATCTTCTGACGCATGTGATAATTGATAATTGGTAAAGTACGGATTGCATTAAAAAAAAAAACAATATAATACCATGAATCATACTAACTATGAATTTGATTTGAATTTAGACAATACTTAGAAATATGTCTTAGAAGTGTTTCAAAATCGATTTTGTTACTGTATCAATAAATTGTGCTAATTCTTATAACATAGTTGGAAATTCAATCATTTCAAATAAAATGTCTTTAACACTTCTTTCTATTGGAAAGGAAAATTTTATTGATAGTCAGTAGGTATGATTGTGATCTTCTTACGCATGTAATAATTAATAATTGGTAAAGTACTGATTGCATTATTTAAAATAATCATTAATATACCATAAATCATACTAACTATGAATTTTATTTAAATTTAGACAATACTTGACTATGTGTCCTAAAGTATTCTACAACTTTTTGTAAATGAATCGTACAATATTCACGACTGATTTTGTTTCTGTATCAATAAATTTTAGAATTCTACAAACTTATGATGCAAACAGATCCTTACAGATAGATTCTTAATGATATCTACAAAAGCTATTTTGCA